TAGGCCTATGACAACAGACGACCGAGAGACAACCTGCATGGGCTCATTCACCCCGATTGGGTCTGGCCAGTATTGCAGCACCCCAAGGACTCATGATCTGGCCGACCGTGGCCAAGATGACGACGACACATTGACCAAAAATGAAAACGCCAATGAGATTGAAACTGATTGTCAATGGAAACATGCGCCGCCGGCAGAACCGAGGCCTGTACCAACTGACGATGTAGTCAATTTGCTGGGCTTACATGACCTGCTGCCGCACACAACTATTGCCAGCCAAGACCAGATGGTCGAGGGTATATTGTCGAGTTCAGGGAACTGCCGCCAGTTGTCGTTGGCTGCGAGCACAGCCTCATTACTGGCGATGACAGCGTCAGTTTCTGCCAGCCCAAACACGGCCTCGTTGGATGCTTTTAAGTCAAGCATGGCAGCAGCCAAGCTGGCCGACCGAGTGACCTGTGACCTCTGTAAAAAAGAGCTATGCAACAAATACTTCCTGCGCACCCACAAAATAAAGGTGCATGGTATCTCACCGAAAGATGCTGGTGGTCCGACACCTCGACACCCCATTGGAAACTGCACGTCAAGCAGCACTGGGACAAGTTGTTCCAGCGTCACAAGCAGCAGCGGTGGCGCTGGCAACAGTTGTGACCTGATTGCTGGTGGCGTCGGCGCAGCCTTGGGCAGTCTCGGGGGCCCTCCGACTGGCTTTATTCCCACTTATTCGGCCGGCAGTGACCTGTTCCGCAGGGCCACTCTGGGCAATTTCAAAGCACATTCCTTTCCCACCGGCTTTTCGGGACTTTGTCTGTCTTCAGCATTGCCCGCCAATTTTCTTCTTCCTCCTCCCCCTCAACTTCCCACATACTCTCATCCCTCCATCCCTCTACCACCACCCCCCTTTGCTCCTCCGCTAGCGTTGCCGTTGCCCCCGCAGAACCCTGTCGAGCCGACAGAGGTTTCTCAATCACCAGTCGCCTTGACAACACCTCCATTCTGTCTGACTTTTTCTGGAGATCCCGCGACTGCAACTAGTCTGGGTACTTTAGCCTCTGGACAGGCCTTTTTCCCGCCACCCCTCGGCTCTGCCGCGGCAGCAGCCGCTGCCGTCGCTGCCGCCATCACCGGCTTCCCACCTCTTGTGTCAACCGGACTGTCTGGAGCCGACTCGATTTCGGGTCTGCACATGCCAGAACAGACCTGTATCACGAGGTCCAACTCTTTCCCACTCACATTTCCTCCCGTTTCACTAGCGCCAATAGGCCAGAGCTCTTCCGGTCAGCTTGCTGAGCTGAAAATCTGCCATTCAGAAGAGGAGGTTGAACGTATTGACAGTCCTCATGCGTCTGCTCTCGCATCGACACCAGATAGCGATGAATTAGACACGCCGGCCAGACAGAATCACAGACGGCATAATCAGCACCAACAAAACCACCAGCACCACCACCATCATCAACATCCTTTGTTCAGCCTAGCGTCGACGATCTACAGCGAACCTGGTCTCCACGATCAGACTGGTGGCCAGCCTTCATTTTTTCCTCCAATATTGTCCGAACATCAGGCTCAGCTGGACGGTCCCAGCTCTTTGGCTGAACTGGTCACCAGCCAGGTAGTGCAATGCCAATTATGCGGCCAAACGGTTGGCAACTGGTTGATGTTGCCAGCTCACCTGTCTAGTCGGCACGGCCTCAGTCCGGGGCATCCGGCCTTCTTCACCACCCTTTTGGGCGCCACTCGCCTGTCAACCCCGAGCCCCGATGGCAACCCTCAGCTACACCAGTTGCCCCCCCATGACCAATGCCAGGCTGAATCTGGTCAATCCAAGAGAGGTAAAGAAGAACAGGAGAGTGGAAAAGAGAATGCGAAAGAACATCTGAAACAGGAAGACGAAGACCGGGGACGGCTAATGCCTGATGACTTGGAAGTCGGGCAAAACCCACTATCGGAAACTAGTAACGTCATAAGTTCGTCAGCAAATCACTGTGGCAATGACATTAACGGTTCTCTCATTCGAGGAACATCAACACCCTCACAGTCGAATGGCTCTCCATCTCCAAGTTCTGGAATGGATGAAGCAAATCCTAGAGATTCATCGGGTGAGTAATTCACTTTTTATTATGGCCAGTCACTGTGTTAAAGTGGGTTGGGAAAATTCACTGCCTATCACGAATACAGCCTATTCTCTACCTTATATTCAGCCACAGTTACCAAGCGTTAATTTTAAACTTAATTATTAATTAGAGTATGAAGCTAGTGGAGCAGAATAATTGCGAAAATGTGTAATATGTACCATTAGGTGTGATTGTAGATAACGTTGAGTTAATGAGAATTCAAACTAAGGGTGGTGACTATTTGGGGATAGATAAAGAGTCTAGTGCTTTTCTTGCTTTCTTACTACAGCGATAAGTGAACTGCTAAGAAAGTTTTGAATATAAATACTTTACAAAGAAACTGTCATATTTTTTCTTATATCAAAATCAAGGACAGTGCTTATGCTGAATGTATGGACCACCCCATTTTCAAAAGACTGGTTTAACGAAAAAATGCCTATAGAAGCTGTTCGCTCCAGCTGTAAAAAATGGTGGTACACCCGGCGAAGAATGGACTAGAGATTGAGTGCTCCACATTATGATGTATCAGCCCAAAGCTGTATCGTTAAAGAAACTAGTGAAGCAAGTAAATTATGGAGTGGGTTTTAGAGACCCCTAGTAGATCATACATATGACATGTATTTACTCTATTTCATTAAAGTGATCAAGGACTGATCATTTACTTTTCCCACAATCATTTGAGTAGACCTTACACTTCTGTTGAATTTCACATAGCCTTGATTTCCCAAAAGGTATCCTTATCCAGAGTGGACTGCAGTTTTGACTTCGCCTAGGTAGCCTCAGCACCCCCAGCGAGATTTGAACCGTGATAGTGCAATGTATACTATCGACACGGTAACCACTACGCCACACTACCACGAGTGCCATTGGGCCATAGGGTAGATGTGAATTTCAAGAAAGGCCAATCATTTTTTTATATCACATTCTGAGAGGGAATGTCTATTAGGCATAGTTGCATTTGCTATAGCAATCGACTACAGTACTTATTTTTTTCGTTTATAGGTATGCTTTCGAGACTATTAGTAGATCATATGTATGAGGTGTATTCTCCCCATACATCTAATATATGTGTATCACTATAAACTAAACAGGGTGAATTGATCTCATATGAGATTTTTTATTGTTTGCAATCTTCCGAGCGTGAGGAAAGATTCACTTGTTTTTTAGACTGCTTAGCAAGACTACGTGAAGGCTCTACAAGTCATGAACACACATATATAGGGCATTATTAGCCCCTGTCACATTGAGAGCCTTATAAATGATTACTTTTGTGGACTAACCTGGCTTCAAATGCAATATCTGTTTCATCTAACCAGAGTAGAATAAGTGTGATCGTTTGGGTTTATGTGTTTTATTTAGGCTTTCTTGGCTCAATTCGAATGCTTGTGCACGTTGCTAATTGTATCAAGTTTTCCGCAATGCCTGACCCCCCCACTGAACATTGCCATACATAAATTCTACGGCTAGTGCACCCAAATCCAGACTTACCTACATGTCTACACAA